GCATTGCGAGATCTATCCAGAGACATCCATAGAGCACGCCCTGCCCATCCTACCACCTCTTCATGATTTTCATATCTTCTTCTCCTATTATATATCTGTGATATCTGCTATATTTTTGCTACTGTTATATACTTGCGATCAGTCTGTTGGCCTAGACGCTGGATGTACTGTACTATACTTTATTTCTCTTTTATGCATACTTTGCTTTTAGATGTTATATATGCGTATTGATATATTTGTCTGTGATTGACTCCATCAGGTGCATCCCAGTGACTTCAGTGAGAGACAGTACTGCCCGAATTTTTCAGGACCACCCTTTTTCCTCTCTCCTTACTTCAATTTCTTATCCCATTTACACTTGCATGCCCACTGTGCAACTGTTATTATCCCCTTTGTTGTCTAATGAACTTTTATCCAGTGCCATCTTTTCAGGACCACAGTTAATCTCAAGTTTGGGGAGGCTATGCCACCTACTTTGGATACTTATGTCCCGGCCATTTTTTGCTTAGCTGCACTGGTATACTCTTTCATTTGTTCTCTTTGCACATTGAGGACATTATGCCATTTAAGTTTGGGGGGGTAATGGTGTTAATTATAGTATTTGCTTTAATTTCAAATTTTTGAGCATGACTTATGTATTTGAGGAATTTTCTATGATTGATCCATAACTAGCTATGATTTTGATCTTTTGAGGACTATATTGCTTAAAATTTAAAAATTGCTTGACTTGAGAGTCCAATACTCCTTGTATGCCTTGTGGATGCCATTTAGGAGTAAATTTTTCGAAAGATTGATATCATGCTTGCACTTGTGGTCCACATTATTCTGATTTTGTGATTGTTTTGAGATTCACTCTAAGATTCTACACTAGCACAGGCGCACACTAACATTCATTTGTGGGGTACATGCTTTGTTTATTATTGAATTGGTTATATCCTAATTGGGCTAATAGTGCATTGAAAGCTTTCATTCTTGATAAAGGTGGATAATAACCCCTTTTCACTAAATAGCCGGGATTCTAGTCTCATCAAGCACTGAACTTCTCGCGCCGAAAGGTGGAGGGCCCGAACTCTAGGTTAATAATTAAAAATAAAATATAAAAAAAAATAAAAAATAAAAAAGAAGAAGAAGTTGTAAAAGCAATAAAAAAGTGAGGACTTCTCTTAAAATGTGAGAAGTGGGAAATAATTAGATGGAGGTTGTCTTGATTTGTAGCCTAGTTGATTTGAGCTTGCTAGTCCTTAGGGGTGTTTGAACACCTAGTGCCCTAAAGCTGTCCGGTTTGGGAGTCATTGACCTAACGCTCGACCTCATGAATCGCTAGAAAGCTTAATAGATCAACACATTGCACTATACTTCCATCTTTGATCCTTAGGATTAAAAAAATAATAATAAAATAAAATAAAATAAAATAAAATAAAAAATAATTAGTGAAAAGAATAAGCGCACTTAGAATAATAAAGCTTTAATAAAAGGCTCATTTTTTGTCTTGATGATCAATACTAGATTTGTGTACTAGTTTGAGGGTAATGATGTGATTATTTCTTTAGTTGGCTAAGATAGCAACATACTTGATGCCGGTCCACTCAAAAAGGATTCTAGTGATATTTTGATTTTCATGATCATTTTCTTGATGTGTGGAGGACCATATTTGCTTGCTTGATGTTGAAATTTTGGGAGATTGCTTGGAAAGGGTTGAAAAATTACATATTTGAGGTAGTTTTCTCCCAATGCTTGTTTGCAATATTGGTACCTCTTTTGTGAGAATGAGCTTAATGTTTATGCGTATCATTTCTGGAAACCCTCACGAGACTTCACTCGTCCACTAGGGGTAATCTAGGGGTTTAAAAGACATGTTGTATATGCTAAATGTAATTGTGTTCCCTACGAAAGTGGCGTTATCCTTTTATTGCTTTTTTAGTTCATACTTATATAGTTGTTCATTTCATTCCTTTACTTTCTAGTTCATTGCTAGGGACTAGTAATATTTAAGCTTGGAGGTGTGATAAGTGCTGAAAAGTGCACATTTAAACCCCTTAAGCTTAGGTATTCTAGGACCTTTATCTATCTTATTTTTTCGCTTTAGATTGATTTTGTATTATTTCCATTTTCAGATACTTATCCCCAAAATAAGCTAACTCAGCTAAATAAGAGCATAATTGAAGCAATCTTGAGATGAATCGAAGAAGGGAGTAAAGTGGGAGCAAAAGGAAGCAAGTGGTGGAAATTCAGCAAGTTTGATCGATATCAGGAAATATTCGATCGATCAAAAGTTCATCGATCTAGACATTTCAAGATGGATCCAAGCTATTTTGTCCTTATCCAAAGATGCCATAAAGTTCGATTGATCCAACTTTCTTCCGATCAATCGAAAAGATTGTACCACCCTACCTACCACTTTTGTCTCGTTCACCAAAATATCTCAGATTTGTCTTTATCCAAAAAGGCGCTGCCATAGAGGATCGATCCAGCTTAAGTTCGATCGATCTCAGTTATGTTCGATCATCAAACTTCCCAAGTGCAAGAAAATTCAATTTCCAGCTCATTAAAAGTTGTCTTATATCCAATCATTGGAAGGAATATTGGTGTACGAGCCCAGCTCATTGGAGGTGACATTTAACCTACCTATATAAGGAATATGAGCCATTCTATAGAGAGAGATATACATACACTAAAGACACAATTTCCATATCATATTCTTAGTGAGGAAGAAAAGAAGAGAGGAGGCTAGAGACACAAGCTTGGAGTTCTTCCATCAACCAAGAAGAGGAGCAATCTCTACCATGGAGTTAGCCCTGGAGGGTTGGAGGACACCATCCATGAGTGGCTAGACATCCTCTTGGGGCTAGAGTTATCTCTAAACATGCTTTCTACAACTTGAGTTATGTATTTTTAAGGGGATTTGTATTGTGATACATGTTTTGACATATTTATATACATAGATCTTGTTTATTTAATGATTTGTGTGGTTTAATGTTTCCAATTGATCATTTCAGTATATCCATATGTCTATATATGCTAGAATAGATGTTCATGTGTTTGTCTCTAGATTTTGTGTTATTGATGCTATGAATCTAGAGATTGTCAAGATATAGTGCTTAATAGAATGCTCTTGTGGTTTATTTGATGGTTCATTTTCATTTCTTGATGGATTGTGCCTCTCCCTTAGTTTAATTAGTTTAATTTCATGTCATTAACTTAATTGTAGTGTAGTTGTAGTTTAGATGTTAAATGGGAGGACAATCCATGCTTGTTGTTTGATGTTCCATACTTATGAAAATAAGTAGCATATGTCTCTAACCTTGTGATGTGTTTGGATTGTGAGCTTAAAGAAAGGATTAATAGCTTAGTTTGATATATTGTACTATCCACCATGTTGCTTAGACAATATATACTTAATTGGTCATCCATGCTTGTTGAAACAACCACACACACACACACTATTGTTGCAATACATGTTTTCCCCCTCATTAATTATTCATTAAGGGTGTAGAAAAGCTATGCTTAGTGGTGATCTTTAAATTCCAAAATCTCTCTCTCTCTTATTTTCTCTCCATTACATTTAATTGTTTACTTTAGTTTAAATTTCATCTTAGTATAATTCAATCACCAATCAATCTTTTGATTACTCGACCTACTAACCCTAATCTCGATTCCACAACCTAATACAACCCACCAATCCCTTGGGACGATCCCTACTCGCCCTAACTATATTTTTAGTGAAATGTAGTAGTGGCAAATTATAAATGTAAAACTTGGCCACACTCATCTTAGTCCAAAACATCCCCTTTTGCTAAACTTTGGGGTGCACCACGGCTTAAGCATCACCAAGTTTGAAAATTACGCGGTTCTCTCAAGAACGTACGTTGTCAATCCAAAAGAAAGAGTTTCGGAAACTATTTCCGAGTACTCAAAATAACACAAAGTGACAAAAACCCGAACTCGGAAAGGAAAAATCAACGAAAAAAGAAAATTCATAAAATTTGAGAAAATGGAAAGGAAGAAAAATGATCGAGTCATTAAAATTTTGTTGATGTGAAAGGATTGGGTGAACAAACCCCACCATCGCAGGTAACATGATATACAACCACCATTGCAGGGTAGGGTTGCAAATGAACCGAGCCGAGCTTTGGCTTGTTCAGGCTCTGTTTGTTATCTCCAGAATGGTGCTCGGGCTCGGCCGAGCTTGGCCTAACTAGGCTCAGTAGAGATTCGGCAAGCTCAAGCTCGGGCTCAGGCTTGAGCTCGCTTGGCTTAGGATCGGATCACAAATTTAAGAAATTGCTGTGATCTCTTCAGTGAAATACGATCTTATCGCCGACCAGAAAGAAATCTATCTAATCTTCATCTCCGACAAGAAAAAAAATAGAAATAGAGAACAAATTTAAAAATGAAATCAAAGCTTTCTAAGGTTTTATCCCAAATCTACACCTTAAAATCCCTTAGAGAGATGTAGAGAGAGAATAACTTTGTGTTGCATGACGAGAAAACACCATAGGAGCTACTGGCAAAGTCATTCTGTGGAGGGTGGAGCTGAAAAAGTGAAGAGAGCACTGCGAACTTGCGGTTGTAGATATCTACTTCTAGGTTATTCTTACGTGGTCCTAACTTTAACAAATCAAAGCTGAGATGTGTTAATTATAAATGGATGAGATTCAATGTTTGTTGAATTATGGACTAATTATATAGAAGTTTGTGGGCCTTATTAATGAAATGGTATAAATTGTGCCAAATAATTTTGGGCTATAAACTTTTTAAATAGAGACTGGTATAATATGGATTATACATTTTAATTGTTGAGTAATACTAGAAAGATTTTACTTAATCAGTATGTTCATAAGTCTAACGTGCTGAATTCAAAATTGTTTAAGCTCGGCTCAAGTTCGACTTATTTATTAAACTTAAAAATTGAGCTTGAACGCGATTGGTTTTAACGTGCCCGGCCCGAACTGTTTGGTTAACCTCAAAGGGAAACATACATGTATATGCTTATACATACAACGATGCATCATTCGAAACCCTAGAACTCTTTTTCTCCTAGAAATCGAGTACCATCTGGTTCTATTTCTCTCTCTGATCACAGGGATGCGAAGAAATGTTTACGTCTCTGATCACACTTCCTGCAATTCTCCTTACCTTTCTTGTGTCTTTGCCTCTGAAACTCAAGAAGACATCAGGAGATTCATACATGTATGTGCTTACACATCTCTCCACCTGCAGAATGGGTCGACTATGATGTGTTCTTTGAGTTTCCGAGGCAAAAACACAACAAAAGCTACTTGAGATGACCGAATCATCAATTCCCAGAGGCTACACGAGATTAAGGGTCTCAATACTTTGAATTCGATATTGGGGTTGTCATCTTGCACATCCTTGGAAAATATCGTTTCATACTTTATGCGTGGATGTTATGGCTCGATTTCGCCGCTGAAGCTTCGATTTCACATATGCATTTCATGCATTAAATCAGTCTATGAACATAGACGGACAATCTTTGCTCGGGGTAAATCTAATACCTTTGCAATAGAACGGTGTATAAATTGTGAATTGATTATTTTTTGATTTAATTTGGTTTCTTAGTTAGGGTTTGAGATCTTGTTACAGGACAAGCTTCAAAGCTTGAATGGAATTGAAATATTTCTGTAAGATTTGTTTTCTTTCTTAAAATTGTTTGGATCCAGAAGTAGTAGTCGGTAAGAAATGGATGTTTATTTATTTATTTTTTGTTTAGGTGTCAATGGCAATTTACTATTGAAACCAAGTACCATGAAGTAGTTAAAAGTTGAAGTTCCTAAACTTGCATGCTTGTTTTCATCGATTTTGTGTAGTTCTGAATCAAATCAATATAAATGGTCACTAGTATGCTTACTACCTAATTTCTTTTTCTCTGTCTCTAAGAGTAACAATTTCATAAGGAATATTATCACACTGATTTCATGTGGTGGACTTTGTATATGGCTACTTGTGTATTTTTTATATCTTCTCAAAATATTTCTGTAAGATTCCTAATACTAGAATGAATTTTGAAGCTTCTTTTTTAAAACATTTTGGAAATAGCAATTTCAAAATATTTCTTTTTTTATCCAATTTTCTTTTTTCCCTAGGGGTTCAAAAAATATCTGTAAGTTTTGTCTGATTTTTGGTGCAGAAAATGGGCAAAGATTGATGAGACAGTTCCTGCTGCTCATGTTAAAGCCGAAATTTTTTCCTAGAGGTTTTTTACTTGCCTTGTCAACTGCCAATGTGCAGTAATTTTGATATTTAATATGCTTGAATATTATATGTTCTAATGGTTATATATTCTACTCAATTTTAGATATATGTTAATAATGGTTGTATATACTATATACCCAACAAGTCCTCAATTCTGGTTTGGGGGCTGGGAAGGACAATGCTTCAATTTCTGTTTCTACAGGAAAACACGCACTTTGTAACAAGGTCTATTGTCTTCATATATACTAGGAGATTCTTGGTACAACTTAATTAAATCATATTGTTTGAACCCTATTCTGAATTTTGATGCTAAAAATGAAAATTTTAAACCAAGCAAATCCCATATTTGATGGGATGGTTGTTATTTTATTGGGTTGTCAACCTAAAATTTTTGGGCTGGTTGCATTTATTTTGCTAGAGCTCAAGTGCTTAAGCACCTCTTTTTTGCATCTAAGTAACTAACAGGACCTCTCATGCTGCTATATACTCCATTGTTGAAGCCTCCATATTCTTATTGTCAATTCAAATTTAAAGACAGCAAGTCAACCTGCATCGATCTTGTATTAATTGTTGCTTTTGTTGCTTGAGAGCAGAGTCCACAAAAAGTTATTGGCTTTCTGCTTGAATTTCTTTATTTTATTTACTACATTCATGGTGAGTTTTACCGCATAGTAAAGGGAATTTGCACTAATACTTTCTCCAAGTTTCCACTCCTAACCAAGTTTGAAGAAGTGAAATGTCATGATTTGTTGATCAGTAATTTTTTATTTATTTTTATTATTATAAAATTATAGTTGTCTATATTTCTTAGTTCCTATCTTTTGTTTGATATTGCATGTATCTAATCTTGGTATCCAGGTATGCATGATTTGATGGAAAATGCAAGTCCTGCTAGGAAAATCAAGGGAGATTAAAATAGAGGATGGTTCGAAATTTCTGGCAAGTGGTTCTCCCTTTACAAGCCACAAACCGACTGCTTGTGTCATGACATGGCTCATTCTTAACATGATTTGGACTTTGGAGGAAGCTCATAAGAAATCCCAACACCCACTCAAGCATTTTGGGAGGATTTGGTCTCCAATATCAATTCAGGTACCTTGTAGTCTTTTCTTTCACTCTTTCACCCTCAACGTGTGAAATTCAATAGCGACGACAATTAAGAACATTGTAATCATTGAGATAAAAGTCTCAAACTGCTTGAATGGGATTTGGAAGTGTTATTAACAACTCTGCTAGTAACTTCCCATCATTTTCAGCAATTCTGTGCTGTGGATGTTAGAACAGTTTGGTTTCAGTACTTCCAGAAACACATTGTGAAAAAGCTGGAGTTCACAACAATCATGTTGTTCTCATCGCATGCACTTTCTTGATCATTTTTCATGTTTTCATCGAAGTAAGATTTTATGAACTAGCTAAAAGTGGAAGACTAATGTATTCATGACTATCCTATCTAAAGATATTGCATAATACTCCCTCTATCCCAAAATAAATGTTCACCTTTCCATTTTTGGCTGTCCCAAAATAAATGTCCCATTTGAAAAGTCGAAGTACAATTTTTTTTTATAACATTACCAATTTAACTTTCTTGCATTGAACTTAAAAAAAGTAAACCATCACATCATCCCTATGGACCCATTATGGATAGATTTGGTAATTTATTCACTACCAATAGTACAATAGAAAAAACTAAAACTCGTCATCTTAAGAAGTTAGATTCCCAAAAAGGGACATTTATGTTGGGCTGGAGGGAGTAAAGATTTGTAACCACGTAGTTAACCTCCCTTTAGCCACTTTTTTTAACATTGACCAAGAAAAATACAAAAGCCTTGCAATAAGATTAATTCTATAGGCCAAAAGTAAAGTTGAGAGTTCTATATTTTTCCATTGCTATTCACTTCATAATGTTGCTGCTGGAATCCTTTTGACTGCAAATCTTTCCTAGCACAGTAGCACCATGTCTTCTTAGCGTTAGATGCATCCTCTCTACATATTGTGGTTCTTGTGTTATTTGAGGAGATTGAGTGGTTAGCTCTCCTTGCCTTTATTCAAGCTAAATGACAGTTCTCTCTATCTACATTGAATCCATTGAAGCTGTAGATATTTTATCAGTAATTTTCCCATCTTTAAAGGGTGAGACAACAAAACCACTGTCTTTTGTGTTTCTACACTTTCATATGGATTATTTGTTCTTTTACCCCTTTTCCTAAAAAGTATATTCTTTTTAGTAGTTTTTTTCTGTTACATTAACAGTATTTATTATTTTTACTGTATAAAGAATGAAAGAAGAATAAAAATAAACCATCTAAAAATATGAAAAGGAAGTTTATGAATACATGGTTTCATAGGTCTTTCCCTATTAATTTCTCTGTAAGTTGTGGGTTATGCTTTAGAAGAGATTAAATAGATCAAATTCTTTTCTGAATGATGCTACTGAGTACTGAGACCGAGACAGAAAAACTAAACAGAAATTGAATGAGGTTGGTATTTTTAAAAAAAAAATTATATAGTAATATTGATATGTTATCTCCTCCCCCTAGGCCAAGCAAATTATTATTTCTTCAGATGTTCAACATAAGCCCTCTCTTTTAGAAATGTGGAGATCACTATGTCCAGTAAATGGTATTTTATGGAAAGAGTAAAGGGGTGTTGCGGCAGCCTCCTTCATTCTGTTGGTCTTTTTCTTTCCATCATGACTATGGGATGGGTTAGTGATCTCAGGGATACTAATCTCCTTTTCTGTTGGCGCCTTTGTTTTTTCTTGTTGAAAGAGTTGGGTGGGGTTCTATTTCAATCCAAGATTAGGTGTTTAGTTATGTTGATGATTATATCTTTCAGCTTTTGCATTGGCATACTTCCCACTGTGCTTACTGCTGGTGCTGCTACCTGGCTGGCAGTACTTGTTTACAATAGCTAATTGGAATCCCTGTGATAAGAACAGTTGCTATCGTATGATGAATTGCTGCTTTTGGAGGATGAATGTGACTGCAGATCCTAACGAGACCTGAGTTCAGGAGTTTGCAGTCCATTTCATAGCTACAGAAATTGGCTTCTTTTGCTTCACTTTCAAGGGTTTCTGCTTGTATTTCTAGAGCTCCTAGACTTTTGTCTACACATTGCATTTTCTTGGTGTTAGCTTTGTACTATTTGTTTTGTTGAATTTATTTGTCATCACTTGAAATTTGTATTAAAGTTTCTAAAAGAAACATAAAGTCTGCCGAAATAATAAAATATCAATGGAAAGCTGCTTTTTATTTATTTATTTATTTTGTATTTATTTTTTATTTTATCTACAATGGAAAGCTCTTGGAGTACTAAAATGGAGTCTAGACTAAAGTAGGTTGGATATCTTTTATATATATATATATATATATATATATATATATTGTATAAACTCACTCAAATAGCCTAATTAGTCTTTCTATTTCACTTACTAAACATATAATCTTTAAATTACATTGAATGAGTTTTGTACTATAAAATTTGCCAATCACAATAATTAGAATTACAAAATTCCTAACCGTTCTTCTTCCACCTTACTCGATGATTTATTTTTAAATGCAGTTACATCAGCCGGTGATAGCCGAAGATTTGGAACCAGCATTTGTTGTTCAGGAGATATAGTAGATTGACTAGAGGGTGCAAGGAGGGAACTAATATTTATCATGGTTTTAATGCACTTCTCATTTGGTTCATTGTCAAATTATAAGCAAGCAGACTCTCCATGACTGTCTCTGTATAGATCTCCTTTAGGTGAGTCCATTGCTGTTGTCTCCTATCTTTGTCGTGTAAATCATAAACGATAAACCTGTAGGTTCATTGGTTCATTGTCAAATTGTGTTCAGGAGTTTGCAGTCCATTTCATAGCTACAGAGTTTATGGTGCTTTCAGAAATCTGTAGGTTCATAAATAGAGCAGCTTTTTTAAAATTTATTTAAGGTTTGAAATTCATAATTCAAATAAGTCAATTCATAAGTCAAAGGGCAGTAGGGTAATTTTATATATGGGGGTGTCATTGTTCAATTTATCAAACTTGAGGATGTCATTGTCCAAAAGTGCTTAAGTTGTAGTTACATGTCTTTAACCCAATCCCCGCGCGCACGGGGGTGGGGGGGTGTTGAGTGCAATTTAAGACTGATTATACATGTGATTTGTTTAATATTATTAAAGTGAAATTTGCAATAGATAAAAGCTGATAAAAGATTAGTGGAAACAGAATTTGGGCACCTAAACTTGTTATGGTATGATTTTTTATTTATTTATTTAATCACAATAATTTCTGGATTTTTTATTTTTATTTTTGAGAAATCCAGACACAATATTGTCAGGCTCCCCCGGACCAAAGACTTCCTAGGGGTCACTACCAGGTTAAGCACGCTTAACTCCGGAGTTCTGATGGGTTCATGACAATCATAACTTTAAAACGCGTTGTTATAGAAGGGTGTTGAATTTATGACTAGCACTTGCCCCCTCCACACCCAGGATATGGGATTGTGCATTTGTAACTCACCCAGTATGGTAACCTACTCACACGTTCACACCCACTCACCTACAAGGTCGCCACAATGATATAAAATAATATAATTGCATGAATTTGTATCGGTGAATCTTATGCATTTAAATAGTTTACTTCAGTAACCTCTGTTTCGTTTGTAGAAATTATAGATATGATGTTGCCTGGTTGTTATGGATTTTAGTTGTTTTCTTTTCGTTATATTAATTGATTAATTACGGTATATACCAAAACATTGACATTTATAGAATGATAGAGTTCATATATAAATTGTAGAATTTTCATGTATCTGTTAGCTCTAGGATCTTATCAAGGCAGATGAATCTGGTTAAATAAAAATATTATTATTTTATACATAAATTGACTGGTTGAAATAATGTTGATAAGCATTTGGTATATATATATATATAAACATGAGTAACAGTATTCATTCAAAAATGATTTATGTGTATATATATATTGGGGTGCTTATATATACATGGCAGTGGTTTAATGAGTCATGAAAACCATTACTGTGGGTTTTGCTGTTGTGATCCGAAGCATGCACAAGGTGTGCATTTTGTGTAAAGGAAATGGGTTACTGATTTCGTGGATTTTTAAAGTATGATTAACATGGTTTACATTAACTCCCAGTAACTAAATAGTGTATATGCGCATCCCTTATATATTTATAGATCCACTTGTATAACATACATCATTTTAGTGAAGGCTGTGAGAGAGGGCCTCTAATTGGATATTGATTTCATGTTAGTAGTTATCAATTTCATTTCATGATCAAGGATTTAGTTTGATATTGATTTCATGCTAGTAGTTATCAATTTCATTTCATGATCAAGGATTTAGTTTGATGCATATAATCCTTGATCATGAAATGAAATTGATAACTACTAATATGAAAATCAATATCCAATTAGAGGCCCTCTCTCACAGCCTTCCTTCACTAAAATGGATATATATATATGATGGACGGAACTTGCAAAAGAATAGGTTTTACGTGACTGAAGAAGGAAACCCACTTTGCGGACTCCTATGCGAAACATGATAGTACTTCTTTTTAATTAATTATTACTTTTTATATGATCTAAAATTAAAGAAAAATAGAAAATAAATATTATTAGTATTTCAAAAATTACGGGAAGTTCCAGAATATTTGATTTAAGTGTTATGAACTTAATTGTGATGACTTAGTTATTTTTGGATGATGTTTAGGTTATTTTTCCAAGTTAAATCGGAAAAAGTATTATTTCACAGCACTAAAAGGGAGAGTACGGAAAAAATATTAAGAATTAGATTTTGAAATTTTGTAGGGACTTATATATAACGTTAGGCTATGTCCATAATTTTTCTATTATCACTGTTTGGGTATTTAGTATTCTATTTTTAAATTAAAAGAGTATTTTAGCGCATTAATTATTATTTTAAATTATTAATATTAATGCATTTCATAATTCACCAATATTTTAATGGATGAGTTTAGATTAGTTGAAAGGTAGTCTGGAACTAACCCTGTGATGATTTTTGGGTACGGTCCGGGGCTTACCTATTTATTGTGGCAACCTTATGAGCGGGTGTACCGTGGGCAGGTGCGAGGCACTGGCAGGTAACCACACTGGGCAAGCTATGGATGCACAATTCTACATCGCCTGGGTAAGGGAAAGGTGAAGTGTTTATATGTGATGGTGTTATCTCCAATTGATATAAGGCCTTTTGTTGTAAAACCCAATAACAAAACCGTGCGGCTCAGGCCTAAAGCGGATAATATCATACCATTCGGTGGAGTGGGTTGTTACAAATAGTATCAGAGCCTGACTCAACCGGAAGTGTGGCTAACAAGGACGCTGGCCCCCAAAAGGGGGGTGATTGTGCCCATTTTATTATGGCCATGGGCTATTGTGCCCTTATTGTGTGGACATGATCCGAGATCATCTGAGGAGTAGACGTACAATCTAGTCACACGTGTGTTTTCAGTTGTCCAAGACTATACGATTCACACTTTATTAGAAGGGAGTCTGGGACTCATGTAAGATATGCGTACTTAAGAAAAGTTAAATTATGGTTATTTGAGTTGCTTGTATATATGGGATTACAAAGTAAGGTTAGCTTGTTGAACGATGATTGTGTTTAACATTTCTTGCTGAACTTATGAGCTCACTTCATTATCACAATCCAGGTACTCATTGAGTAAGAATGTAACGGAGATACATAACGGGGATGGATTTTAGCTCATTGCACATTTATTTATTTTAGCTTAGTCTTTCCTGTATTATGATCATTGTAATAAGGTTAATGTTTTGTGGAACTTTGTTTAGTTGATTCAGTGGACATGAATTTTTTTATTCTATTAGAGGGAGTTTCACCTCTATTCATTATTTTATATATGGTTGTGAGACTCGTTGGTTTATTAAATCGTTTGATGGAGTTCCATCTTATTTATTATTTATAGTGGATGTATATTGAGAATTGGTAGAAGTTATACTTCAAATTTTATACACGGGATAAAAGGGTTCTTGTTTAAAATTTGGGGTGTGACAGTTTGGTATCATGACCTAGGTTAAGAATTACCTAGCTAAAGGAAGTGATTCTAAGAATAGGGACATATAGTTATATGAATTATTCGTTCTATTACCCTCCTCCAGTTTAAAGTACAATTACTTGTGAGACTTATGATATTGATATTCTTTACTGAAAATTGGATGTCAGGAGCTGGAAGAGGCAGAGGACGTGGTAGAGGCAGAGGCAGAGGTAATGGAAGCGCCAATCATAGTGGTTTTGGCCATGACAATGTTCAGTTTGAGGATGCACCTTATGCGCCGAATCCTATGATTGGATTTATTAGAGATATAAGCAAATTGGGAGCTATTGAATTTTTCAGATTTACTAATCCACTTGATGTCGAGAAGTGGATTAAAGACATGGAAAAATATTTTGAAATGATGGACTGCATTGAGGTGCAGAAGAGGAAGATTGCTGCTTTTCTCTTGTCTTGTGAGGCGCGCTAGTGATGGCAGTCGGAAACCAAGATTGTTGGGTACATCACAGCCATAACATAGAACGAGTTCAAGACTTGGTTCAACGACAAATACTTTCCACTAGCAGTGAAGGAGAAGAAGGCAACTGAGTTTATGCAGCTAGAGTAGAATAATGATATGTCAGTCAGTGACTACGAGAGAAAGTGTACAGAGTTATCTCGATTCGCTCCTCATATTGTTGCGGATGAGTTACACAAGGTCAGAAAGTTCGAGCAACTATTGATCTCCTATGTAAAGAAGTTTGTAGTTGGTCATCGTTGTGACACATATGCCAAAGTTGTGGAATGTGCCATGGCAATAGAGGAGAATAATAGCATCATCTTTCAAAAATAGAGGGATCATAAAGCAAAATAGAAAAGTAAAGGGACTAGCAGCTTTTAACAGAATTAGCGGGTTCCGCAGTAGTAGACTTAGAGATATGGGCAGGCCAGTCTTGGCAAAGGGGCATGCAAGGTTGGAGAGCTGGGAAGCGGCAGAAAGGTGGTAGAGGTGAACACCCACAGCTTTAGTGCCAGCCGTGCCTTAGGATACATAACCACGTCGGTTCATCGGGGAGTGCTATAATTGTCATGAGAAAGGACACATGGCTCCTAATTGTCCCAAGCCTCGCAAGGATGACCAACAGTGGAAAATACACTTACTATTTATGGCAGTATAGCTAGAGAACTATTTGATTCGGGTTCTTCATATTCTTTTATTGCACTAACATTTGTGGACACACTGGGACTAGAACTTGAACATATGAGTAATACTTTATCTATTACAACTCCACTCGGAAGTGCGATGACACTTGATAGGATATGTCATGCTTGTCCTGTCACAATTGGAGAGTTAAAGTATTATATTGATATGATAGGATTACGGATGATGGACTTTGACGCTAAATTGGGTATGGATTGGTTAACTAGATATCATGCTCAGCTAGACTGTCATGAGAAGATTATTGTCTTCTCAATTCTGGGAAAGACCTTTTTAGTATAGATGTGGGGAGTTTGAGGGCACCATGACTGTGATTTCTTGCTTACATTGAGTTAGTTGAGCAGCACATGACTATAGAGTAGTTACCTATAATGTTAGAGTATACAGATGTGTTTTAGGATATTCCGAGTTTGCTTCCTTGAAGGGTAGTGGATTTCTGCATTAACCTCATTCCTGGTGCTTCACCAATCTCCAAGGCACCCTATAGAATGGAGCCAGTTGAATTGAGGTAGTTGAAGAAACAGACCCAGGAATTGCAGGATAGAGGGTTTATTCGACCTAGCATCACCTTGGGGTCACTTCATTTATGTGCTGACTACTGTGAGCTGACTAGGGTTACTATCAAGAATAAGTACCCTTTGCTACACATTGATGATCTGTTTGATCAACTTAGAGGGGCACAATTTGTTCTCTAAGATTAACTTGAGGACCGGTTATCATCATCTGAGGATTAGGGATGAGGATG